GATCTTAGGGTCCTGGGATCAAGTCCCGCATCAGGCTTCTTGCTCAGCGGGGAGCCTGCTTCTCCCTCTGCCTGCCACTCTCCCTGATTGAGTTCTCTCTCTCTTACAAATAAATAAAATCTTTAAAAAAAGAAAAGAAACCAACACAGAAAGCCAAGAAAAAAAAATGAAGAAACAGAGGAATATGCTCTAAATGAAAGAACAAGATAAAACCTCAGGAAAAAACATTACTTTACCCAAAGGTAATAAAAACATTAACTTGAAAAGATATCTGCACCCGCATGTCCATTGCAACATTATTTACAGTAGCCAAGACATGAAAGCCACCTATGTCGCTCTCTCTCTCTCTCTCCTGCATACACAGAATGCAATATTATTCAGTCATAAGAAGGAAATCTTTCTCTCTCTCTCTCTCTCAAAATAAATAAATCTTAAAAAAAAAGAACAAGGAATTCCTGCCTATTTGCAACAACATGGGTGAATCTTGAAGGCATTATGCTAAGTGAAATGAGCCAGATACAGAAAGATAAATACTGTATGATCTCACTAATATGTGGAATCTAAACACTCCCCCCACCAACAGAAACCTCACCCCTCAACTCAAAGATACAGAGACCAATTTTATCCTTGCCAGAGGTGGGGGTGGTTGGTGTGCAAAATGGAGGAAGGTAGTCAAAAGGTACAAACTCCCACTTGTAAAACAAGTAAGTCATGGTAATGTAATGTACCGATGGTGACTACAATTAATAAGACTATTTTGTATATTTGAAAGTTGCTAAGAGAATAGACATTAAAAATTCTCATCACAAGAAAAAAAATTTGTAACTATGTGTAGTGATGGATGTTAAGTAGGCTTATTGTGGTGATCATTTCGCAACATATGCAAACGTCAAATCATTATGCTGCATGCCTGAAACGAATATATTGTTATATGTCAATTATAAAAAATATACCTCAATTTAAAAAAAAGGACCATGTCAATTAAGATGTTCAAATCATTTTTAAAATTTCAAAACTAATTTTTGGTGTAAATATCACTAAGAAACCAGCTAGTAGCACTAAAAACTTTTCAAATTTAAAGTTATCCACTTTTGTATATAGGTGTTATATTCAGTTTTTTTTTTCCAAAATCGAGTAATTAGGTAGGATACTTGCAACCATACTAGCTAGTACATGCAATGATTAGTCTGTGAAGTTGCATTGACTCAATCTGCACAAAATAAGCAAGGTTATCATATTACTACTGTAATTCATCAAATCTAAGATGCCACAGGATGTAAGACTCATCCTGATTTCATAGATGTTAAAAAATGTGCTCTAGGATTGATGACAGTTGTGAGTATAGTTGTAGTAATATCATGTAAACATACTGTTTGCTATGTGCCAGGGGCACCTCTAAGTCCTTTATGTATATAAACTCATTTAATCCTAATAAGCTTATGAAGTAAATATTATGACAATAATTATTATATTATTATATAAAATATAGTTAACATATAAAACAATATATTATATTAACATGTGAACATAATTATATATTAATTAGATATTATATTACATATAACATATTGTTTTTATTATCATTACTTAGATGGAAAGTAGTAAGGCATAGAAAGATTAAAAAACTTGCTAATTCCTTTGAATTAGTGTTTTTGTGTTTTTTGGGTAAATACCCAGTAGTGTAATTACTAGATCATAGGGTATTTCCATTTTTAACTTTTTGAGGAAACTCCATACTGGTTTTCCACAGTGGCTTCACCAGTTTGCATTCCCACCAATAGTGCAAGAGGGTTCTCTTTCTCTACGTCCTCGCCAACACCTATTGTTGCCTGTGTTTTTGATTCTGGCCATTCTCACAGGTGTGATACATGCACCCCTATGTTCATAGCAGCATTATTTACAAAATGGTATCTATATATATGGAATATTATCCAGCTATTAAAAAGAATGAAATCTTGCCACTTGCAATGCCACTTTTGGAACTAGAGAGTATAATGCTAAGTGAAATGAGTCAGAGAGAGAGACAAATATTATATGATTTCACTCATGTGTGGAATTTAAGAAATAAAACAAATGAGCAAAGGGGATAAAAAAGAGAAAGGGACAAACCAAAAAACAGACTCTTAACTCTAGAGAACACACTGATAGTTACCAAAGAGGAGGAGGTGGGGGGTTGGGGGAAACAGGTGGTGGGGATTAAGGAGGGCACTTGTCATGATGAGCACTGGGTGATGTATAGAATTGTTGAATCACTGTATTGGTACACCCGAAACTAACATAACACTATATGTTAACTGTACTGTAATTAAAATAACTTAATAAAAAATTAGATGTAAAAGCAATCTTAATAAATTAAGATTTTTATGGAATCAAATTTTAAAAAACTTGCTTAATGTTATCAGCTGATAAATGACAGAGACAGTATTTTATCAAAACATGCAAATTTTAACATTTCATTGTCCTTGGTCATTTGTATATTTTGATTGGTAATTATATTTTGAAGTTCTGAATTGCAAATGGACAAATGTACATTATACAGCCCATTCTTGGAAAGAAAACTTATGAGAGCTTATGCAGATATTGCAGCTAGATAGTCAAAGAAAACTTTCCTGGGCTGAAGAAGAGTGTAAATCTTTTCTGTTCTTGTTCTGGAAGGAAGGGGGTACCCCAGTTTCAGAAAAGTGAGTTACATATACACCTTGTTTCTTGAAACATGATCAGTCCGGTCTTATTTAATTTAATTTATTATGTTTTACTTTTTCCCTGTATCTTCTTCCACCATTCCCTTCCGCTCTTCCTCTTCCCCCTATGTGCAGGCCCCCATAACATATATCAAACAAGCATGATGTTATCATATTTGATGACATATGATATATTTGATCTGATATCTGTCCTTTGGATCTTGGTGTCCATGTAAAATGAATAACGCTTTTCTTTTTGTTGCTTGTGATTTATGTGTAGGTGTTTGCAAATTTTGTAAACGTTACTCTATGATGGATCTAGTTTCTTACTTGATGCTGTTTTCCACTCGACACTGTTTTAAGATCTATCCATATGTCTGTATGCAAATCTAAATCAGCTCTCTGTGTTTCTAAACCTGTTTATGCCAGATTGTGGTATTATGGTAGTTGTGGAATTAAATATTATGGACTGATGAAATTGAGTGTAAAAGGAAAGTAGAGTTATTATTTCCCTGAGAACAAAATGGATTGCTCTGGAAAGTTTTAATAAAACAAGTCCCTGAAGAAATTGCTGAATTAGGTATGAGCAAGATAACGGTAAGAAGTTGGAAAAAATGAAAAAATCTACAATTTTGATGGCTTTGCCAGTGTCATTAATTTTTTTCCCTCCTCTATTTTTAAAAGATTTTATTTATTTGAGAGAGAAAGAGAACATGAGTGAGAGTGGGAGGAGAGGCAGAGGGAGAGAGAGAAGCAGACTCCCTGCTGAGCAGGGAGCCCAACATAGGGCTTGATCTCAGGACCCCGAGATCAGAGGCTTAACCAGCTGAGCCACCCAGGCGCCCCCCCCCTTTAAAGAAACAGAAGTGGGAACTCAGAGATAATGCATTATGAATAAGGTTATGCAAGAAAGGAGAGGAGATTCTCCAGTAAGTTGACTTATTTCAAAGAAAAGTCTGTGGTCCTATTTTAAAAGGTTGACTAATGAATGTACATACATTTATTTAAGTTAAAGTACAATGTTTCATTCATACCAGTTTCCTTTTTTATGATTCTCTGTTTTAACTGATTTTGGAATTAACTGAACATTTCATTCCATTGCATCTGTTAAGATGCCCACTACTGTATATGCTAAAGAAATCTGAGCCCAGAAAAAGAAGGTGGGAAATAGAATATACAGTGTTTGGGAAGGAATTGTAGTAGCATGTAAAATGGTTATGCTGTAATGTTCATTGGAAAGTAGTCTACAAAATAATATATACAGTACATTTGTACCTAATTGTGCTGGATCATCTGCAAAGTTAGCTCCCATTCCTGTAGGCACCCCCTTTATAGGGTAAGTTTGCTGTTCTTCCATCAAGAGGTAGACTCTATTTCTCCATCCTGTTAACGTAAGCTGGACTTGTGAATTGCTTTGGCAAATAGAACGTGGCCAAACATAGGCCTCAAGAGGCCTTCTGGAATCTGCTCGTACTGTTTTGGAATACTGCCCTGAGACTCTCTTGGGAGAAAGCCAGCTCTGGCCTGGACTATAGAGGCCACATGGATCAGAGACAAGTGCTCAGCTGAGGCCCCTTATTCACACAAGCCAGTGCATGCACCAACCACTTGAGGTGTGGTTGAGGCCATCTTAGATGACCTTGTCCCAGACAAGCTACCAGATGACCACCTCATGAATGAATCCAGACAGATGAAACCAGCACTATCGCCCAGCTATCACAACCCAAATTATTGACAAATAGAACTGGGTGCTGTTTGAAGCCGTCAGGTTTTGGGGTGGTGTTAAATAGTACAAAAGATAGCAGAGAGAAGTCTACACAAAGCCATGTGTTTAAAAAAAAAAGGAAACAAATAATACAATTGACAATCAAAAAGTTCTGCAGGAGAGTGCTTTTAGGCGGCAAAGATATTTGCCTTGGATATTGAAAGTGAAAATTGTGGCTCAGGAGCTAATGGCTTATCATATTACTATTTATTAAAAACTTGTATATTTCTCAACATTTTCTAAGCTAAACCTAGAAGGAAAGTCTGTTTTAAATGTTTATAAATATATGTATATATATATATTTATAACAGATGAAGAAAGTTTCAATTTCTTTTCAAATCAAACATTTTTTACCACAATCAGCTAACAGAAATTACTGCAACAAGAGTCAAGATGACATAAAATTAAGGATAAATGTTTGTTATCAGAAAACTTCATTGAATGTCACCGATGATGTTAGATACTATATTTTTTGTGAAAGGATAAAAAAAAGTAAATATTTTAATTTTACATTTTTTACAATCAAATGAATAAATTTTATAATATTAACTTACCGTGGTTTTAGTGCAGTATCCTAGGGCGATTTCATAGTGAATCTGATTTTTCTCTTGTAATATATTTGGGCCGTATGATTCCACAACAATGTACAGACCAACATTTTCTGGATAGACTATTTGAGCCCAAATGGACAGGTTCTGTCCCTTGTCCAAAAAGTAAAAAACATTTAAAATATTATTATGAAATGCCACGTAGGGGCATTTTTCTTTTGAAGTGAAATGTACACTTTGTGATTCCAGTTTTAAAGGATATTCCTGTGGCTGTACTGTGCCATTTTCAAAAACGTATATGAGATATATTTGAGCAGATGAACTCAATAAAATTAATGACTTCATTGTACTATTTGTCCATAAATGTAGTTTTATTGCAGCTCTGATATTGATCTTGAAATAAAACATTATGTTATTTTCCATTTTTACCACAATATTTCCATAATAATCTGGAAAAGGAGAAAAATTTGTGTTATTCTAAGTAATCATAAATCCATGCACTTTTAACCATAATAATTTCTTTTGTAGTAATGAAGGATTTATCTGTTTTGAGAAAATTAGAGTGTGCAGACACAAACCTGCAACTTTATGTGATGCTGGAGAGCTTCTCTCCCACTTCATAGTAGAACAATTCTTTTCCTGGATATATTTCTTCTTGTACTTATGACACCACTTTATATATGACACCACTTATATAAAAAGCTGGAATTAGTGCACTAAATAATAATGAGCATAGACATGCAGGAATAGTATTATTAGGAAGCATTGTGCTATAGATGGAATTGTGCCCCCCTCCCCCAAAATGGATAGGTTGAAACCCCAGCTTGCATTGTGACTGTATTTGGTGACAATGTCTTTTGGGAGGTAATGAAGGCTAAACTAGGTCATAAGGGTCCTAGTCCAACATGACTGGTATTCTTGTAAGAAGAGGAAGACATAAGATCTCTCTGTGCATGCAGGCAGGGGAAAGGCCATGTGAGGACACAGTAAGAAGGTGGCCCATATCTCCAAGCCAGGAAGAGGGTCCTCACCAGAAACCAACCTTGATATCACCTTGATCTTGGACTTCTAGGCTGCAGAACTGTGAGAACATACATTTCTGTTCTTTAAGCCATGCAGCCCATGACCTCTTGTTATGGTAGTTGTAGCAGACTGTACAACTGGGATAAAGAAATGGGTGTATGTGTGTGTGTGTATGTGTGTGTGTGTGTGTGTGTGTGTGTTGGTATGTCTTCAGGTTCACTCTATAAATAATAACCAACTTCCTTCCCTTAACAGAGTATTAGGTCTAAGTCACAGAGGTTCACAGACAATAAGTCTCAAATTCTTTGGTAGTAGCTGTATCTGTAAAATGAACAGTTGGACTAGTTGATTTCATAGCTTTTTTCCAGACACGACATTCTCCGTGGATAGCTTCTAGGGGTATACTTTCCCTAATTTAAAACAACAACAACAACAACACTTTAAGGGGACTGACTAAAAGGAGGAAGTTCAATTCATAGAGTGAGGAAGGTTCAGAGTGTATTGTGCTTATGCATCTTACATTTGAAATTTGAATAAATAAGTGGCATTTTCGCAAATTACTGTAAAACTCCTAAATCAGCAATGTCAATTGTTGTTAGGATCAGAATACTTTAATGAGACATCACTGTCCACATACATGTCCTTATAACCTTAAGCTCTCATGTAGTGATGATGTTGTCAGTAGGGTCCAACCATATGATAATGCTGGTGAAATTGTTATGTTGATCGGTAAGGTTAATATGCAGCTCGGAATAATTTTCAGAGTGTTTTAGTATAACTGCAAGGGTAAAATGCCCTTCCTGCTGAGGCAACATACACGGGGCATCAAACCCCAGCACTAACATGTCGGTGACTTGGGAAGTTGAGGTACTTTGGGCAACACAGTGACGAGGTAATTTTTCTCATATAACTTACTTTATAAACTTAATTTTGTTTTGTTTTTCCTCCCTCCAGGCTTACCAAATTCTTGGCCTGCTGTACTTTGTGTGTGTGTTTCTAGAAATTTCACCAGGTAGAAGGAGACAAAATGCAGGCAGATAACCTAACAAAATCTATCTGGATGTTGCGTGAGAAAAGTACGTGCAGGATACACACAGTGTGATGATACATAAAACTCAAAACCTCACAAAACAAAAAATGTATGTTGCTCTTGGATTTTAGATAATGTCCAGGTCATGTGGTGATGCAGTCCTGTCTTTTTCAGCCAGCCTTTTCGGTTGCCACTTTCGGGCTCACATACCACCTAGTGATTCACAACAAATTTCAGTTCTGCAAACTTACCATGTTCTCTCCTGCCTCTGGGTCTTTGCTACTTCAGCTCCCATCCTGACTGTTGATCTAATTTTTCTAATATGTACCCTTTTCCTGTTCTCAGTTGAGAAGGCATTTCCCTCTCTGCGGGCTTTCCTAATCTCATAAATCTGGACTAGATGTCACTCTCCTGCCTGTCACACTGCTCCTTAAAACATTATTTTTTTAAGATTTATTTATTTTAGAGAGAGAGAGCACAAGGAGGTGAGGGGCACAGAGAGAGGGAGACAAGCAGACTCCCACTGAGCAGGGAGCCTGATGTGGGGCTGGATCCCAGGCCCCTGGGATCATGACCTGAGCTGAAATCAAGAGTCGGATGCTTAACCGACAGAGCCACTCAGGCGCCCTGCTCATTAAAACATTACTAAATGAACTTTGGATTAAATGTGAAGTTAAGATGAAAATTAGGAATTATTTGCAAATGAGATTAAAAACACTATATATAAAGGTTTGTGGATGCAGCTAAAACAACAGTGAGAAGAATGTAGAGTCTTATGTTTATTTGTAGTTTTAAGTGCTTAGAAAACAAGACTGAAAATAAATGAACTAATCATTTACCATAAGAAGCAGGCAAAAGACACCAAAGTTATAAAAAGAAAGCACAAGTGAAGATTCAAGAATGACAAAAGCAGAAATTAAGGAATTAAATAGAAAGAAGATTCGATAAACAAGCCAAGAGTTCCTTTCAAAGGAAAAGAAAACAAAACCAAAAAACCATAAGAATAAGAAACAATATTTTGCAAGCCAAAGTAATAAGGGGTGGGGTACAGACAACATCATAAATGAGAAAGGGAATACTATTACAGATGATAAGCAGTCTAAAAATTGAAATGGGAAACTTTGCCAATAAAGTTTATTAGAAAATCCAGACAAAATGAGTGATTTCCTAAGGAAACACAAACTTCTAAAATTGACTAAAGACACCCATCTACACTCGATGTGGGGCTTGGACTCATGGCCCCAAGATCAAGAGTCGCATGCTCCATCAACTGAGTCAGCCAGGCACCCTCATGACAACTTTTAAATAGTGGGTTGAGAAATGGAAATGCTGCAGGCTGAAGGCTTTTAAATTCAACTTTCATATGCTTATGGACAGGTTAGACTTTTTATTTCAGCATTTCCAAATGGCTCTTGGTAAAACATTCAGCCTTCTAGGTCCCTCTAAAACTTATCCCCTGTTGATTATTCTAACTTTATCTCCTTATCACTGTGGCCAGTGGCCTTATAAAAACACAAATATGATTCTGCTTCTCTTTTGCTCAAAACTCTTTAAAACCCTATATGGGCCTTAGGAGAAGGTCTGATTTCTTCACATGGCTTATGAGGACTCTCATAACCTGAACTTGATTTCTCCAGGAGAGATTTCTCCTTTTTCTCTATGGAGAACTCTGTTTCAGCAGTGAATTGTCTTTCAAGGCCTGTATTGTACCCTGTTGTCTCTGTCTCTGGGTTGTTGGGCACCCCATCCCCACTGTTGTCTTCACTGCCTAACTAACCTCTACCCATTCAGCAGGACTCAGCTTAGACAGCACTTCTTCAAGGAAGCCTTCTCTACCTCCCTCTCCCCTAGATTGGGTAAGGTACTCGATCTGTGTGCCTCTCTAGCACCTGATGTTGGCTCTGTCATAGCATTAGCCATGTTGCTTTATCGCATGTTTGTCTTTACCCTTTGCAATTTTGTAAACTCTGAAAGGGTGGGAATTCTGGGGCTTCTGGGTGGCTCAGTTGGTTAAGCATCTGAATCTTGGTTTCAGCTCAGGTTGTGATCTCAGGGTTGTGAGCCCTGTGTGGGGCTCCATGCTCAGTATAGAGTCTGCTTAAGATTCTTTCTGCCCTCCCCCCTGCCCTTATACAAACACACTCTCTCTCTCAAATCAATCAATCAATCAATCAATCTTTTAAAAAAAAGAAGAAGAAGAAAGGGTGAGAATTGTGTCCAATTTCTACGCTATCTCCACTTCCCTGCAGAGCGCTTTACCAATAGTGCATGGTCAATGAATATTTGTTCATCCATTTATTCAAAAAAGGACCTATTATATATTATTTTAGACACTGTGGGCAAAGCGGCAAATATAACAAAGTCACACAGAGCTTGTTTTTTCATGGAAGATTCAGTGAATTTAGAATAAGCACACATGTAGTTTGTTAGGTAATGAGAAGCTCTGTGAACAAAACAAAGTGTAAGGGCCAGAGCACGGGAGCTAGGGCAGGGTCAGGGAAGAGCTCCCCAATCAGGTGGCATTTGGACTCAAACCTGAATTAAATGTAAGAGTCATGCAGACATCAAAGTGAAGAATTATCTGGCATATGAAACAGTAGCTATCCGAGGAATAGCAAAGAGCCCAGTCTGCAATGAGGTAACAGCAAACAGAGGGTTAAGTGACAGGAGAGGACATCAGAGTCTGGAGTCACACCACATACTGCTTTTCAGGCCATAGTAAGGGTGTTGGATTTTATCCAAATCCAAAGTGATATAGAAAGCCGAATGAGGGTTTTAAGCTGAGGAATAATGTGATTTTTGCATATGTTTTCAAAGGCTAACATTAGCTGCTAGGTGGACTCTAATGGTGGGGCTTGGGGTGGAAGGGTGGAGGCAGGGAGAGCATGTAAAAAGCTCTTGCATGTATGGGCTGGAGAGGACACTGGCTTGGACTGGAGTGGGACTGGTGGAAGGGGGTTGGCTTTTAGGTAGACGTTTTAGATAGAGCCAAGTGGAGCTGCCCAGGGATTAGTTGTGGGATGTGAAAGGGAAGGATTCGAGGATGAGGTCAAGGTTTTTGTAGCTGGAAAGGCTGGAAGAGGTGATATTTACTCGATAGGAAAGGACTAGGCAAGGAACAGGTTGAGATAGGAGTGAGACTCAGGGACTCATTCTTGGATGTTAAATCTGAGATGCCTACTAGTCATCCAAGTGAAGGTATCCCAGAGGCAGTTGGGAATAGGAGCTTGGAGTCAGGATAGGAGTCATGGCCGGAGGGCAGAGTGCATGGAAACAGAGCTCCAGAAGATGTCTGAAAACTAGACCCTGAGGTGCTTCTCCATTTGGGAATCAGGAAGATGAGGGATCAGGGAAAGAGGCTGAGGAGGCATAGCTAGTGAAATAGCAGGAAGGGCAAAAAAGTGACACCGCAGAAGTCAGGTGACAAAAAGTTATTTCAAGAATCAGGCCCTGCTAGGGTCACCTGGGTGGCTCAGTCGGTTAAGCGTCTGCCTTCGGCTCAGCTCATGATCCCAGGGTCCTGAGATCGAGCCCCACATCAGGCTCCCTGCTCAGTGGGGAACCTGTTTCTCCCTCTTTCTCTGCCTGCTGCTCCCCCTGCTTATGCTCTCTCCCTCTCTGTCAAATAAATAAAATCTTTGGGGAAAAAAAAGGAATCAGGCCCTGCTGAAAGCCAGCTCATGGAGGATGGCTGAAAATTGGCCAATGGGTTAGCGAAGTGGAGGTTGTTAAGAACCTTGACAAGAGCACTTCCCATGGAGTATTTGATTAGAGTGGCTTCAAGATAAAGGGAGGAAAGATGAAGAAGTGAAACTAGGCAATATTTTTTAGAGTTTTGTTGTAAAGGGGAGCATAAAAATCAACTGGTTGGGAGTGATAGGTTGCCAGGTGATAGGCATCAAGAAAGACAAGGGGCGCCTGGGTGGCTCAGTTGGATAAGCATCTGACTCTTGATTTCAGCTCAGGTCATGATCCCAGAGTTGTGGGATTGAGCCCTGTGTCAGGCTCTGGGCTCAGTGTGGAGTCTGCTTGTCACTCTCCCTCTGCTCCTCCCCCTGCTCACACACTCTCTCTCTATTTAATAACAAATAAATAAAATCTTTTAAAAGAAAGAATTACAGCTACATTTCCTTTAAATTCCATGGTTAGGGCTATCTCCTAACCACACTTTTTGAGGATTGAACTTCCTATTTCTTTGCATTACCTATAATGTTTAGTATACTACCTCAGGAATAATAAGATTCAGAATAACTACTGTTAGCTGAAGGTTTACCACATGCCCAGTTTTATTCTAAACATTTTACTTACAATCCCTTATCCAATCAACACAACCACCCTATATTCTAGATTAGAAAATGAGACTTGCAAAGGTTCAATGACTTGCTCCTGGTTAGGAATATGGATGGGTCCATTCAACTCTACAACACCTGCTATAGGTTGAATTGTGTCCCTTAGGGAACGATGTTGACATTCTAATTCCCAGTATTACTTCAGAATGTGACCTTATTTGGAAATAGGATCAGTACAGAGGTAATTAGTTAAGATGAGGTCCCACTGGAGTAGGTTGGGTCCTGTGTCCTTGCAACAAGATGGCATGTGAGGACACAGGGAGAATGCTATGTTGTGATGAAGGCAGAGGTTGGAATGATGCAGCTGCAAGCCAAGGAATGGCAAAGTTTGCCAGCAAGCCACCAGAAGCTAGGAGGAAGCAATGAGAGAGCCCCGCTCTTTGGGTTTCAGAAGGAACATGGCATTGCTGACAACTTGAATGGGGACTTCAACTCTCTAAAACTGAGACAATAAATTTCTGTTGTTTTAAGCTACCCAGTTTGTGGTAGCTCTAGGGAGCCCTAGGAAATGAAGACAACACCATATCACCTCCTGCGCTGAAAATGCTTGTGTAGGTTGTTAGTTAGTATCTGCTGAATGACCAAAATGAATCTACGGGAAAAACCCAAAACTTGAGTTTGCCATTTCACTATGTGAGATAACCTTAGTAGAACTTAAAAAGATATCCATTTTTAGGTGGTAAAAAATGCACTTTTACCTACCAAAAGCATCATATATGAGTGTATTTATAATTGTTACATCTTCATAAGGAAGATGTCTACTATAAAATTTAGAATAATTTTTGCAGAATGAGAATGTCTCACCTATGAAAATATCATGAATAATGCTGTTATGTGATAATCTTGATAGATTTCCAAATTCTGTAGGTGTTTGTAAAACTCCCGTCTCGGTGAAATTGTGATAACAATAGTAGATCCGATGTTTGTCCCGCAGTATTAAATCTGGCAGTGCTGCGTATATAAAATGTGGGGTTAAAAAACTGTCAGTAGAGACATCTAATGCAAAGTCTTGGTACATCCACTGTTCTGTATCTTCATTGTATATTACCACGTAAATTGTTTTGTTGATGTTACACGCAGTGCAGTAATTTAATAATAAGGCAAGTTCCAAAGGGTGTCCTGGATACTCGACATTGTGTATAGTCAGTGTAGCAGCTGATGATATATTTAGAAGATTTTTCAGTTTTTCAGTAGTTATTATTTTGACAAATTTAAGAAAAGTATATCCAAGATAAACTTCATTTTCTGTCCAGATTGCCATGCTACTTCTTCTTTTAGCCTATAACAAAATAGAAAATAATTAGAAGATCTTTGGTTTTAGGGACATTCCTAACAATTCTGGTCTTCTAATTTGCTATATTTAAAATGTAGTAACTACTAAGGTTTAACTTTTAGTGTATTTCTGAATAAGACTCCAGGCATTGAAATATATCACATAGAAATATATGTATTCATAAGTATAAATCATTTCAGCAATTTTATTCTTTGATATATATATATAGAATATATATATATTCTATCTGTAGAAATAATTCATCTTAATTCCCTTTTAAACTGACCCTCAGAGAATATCAGCCTTCTCTTTTCTTATGTATTTATCCACTCTGGCCACGAGTGCCCCTTCCATGTTCATTACTGTCAAGATATAAAGACACTTCAAACATTAAGTTATTTTTGGAATTATAGTTTCCTTGGATATGGGATAAAGAGAAGACAGAACTGAAAACCTTAGACAAATCAATACCACCCTTTTATGAACACAGGCTGTTAGAGAGGAAGGCCACTGAGAGACTGCTATGTTTGAAATTCAGTGGGCCTAATTTCATTTAGAGATCCAAGGTCCCCCTTTTTCTCTATTTCTCCTTCCCAACTGTTTCTAATTCTTAGAGATTTTTACTTAACATGTAACTTCTATGTTCATGACGACCAAAAGGAGTCTCTTGGGCACGTCTTGTCTCCTTAAGTTTATGTAATGTACACATATTTAGTAATGGATATACTCAAACAGGATGTAGACAGATATCAAACTGGTAACCAAAGAAACAGACTATTTGGTAAAGAGTCATTTCAGTAAAAAGTCATTTTATCAAATGAAGATTCAATTTAAAGTCTAGAGTTTATGTTGCTTTAAATGAGTGTGAGACAATCCTTGAAGAGGAAATATATTAGTAACAAAATGATGAGCCCTTCATAGAAAAGACACATAGTTATTTTTATTCTTGGCAGAGGGATGGGAATCCATCATAAATATGACAGATGGGAATTCCAAGGAATGAGTTTTTACCCACCACAAACTTTCCCATAGATCTTCACTTAGTGAAGTGAAGCCAAAAGCTTTTGGGACAAGGCAGGGGAGCTGATAGATTCCCCTGAGGCATTCAGGCCTCTCCCAAATATAAAGCAGTAATCCTCTGAAGACAAGGAGGGGGCAGGCATCAAGGCAGCAAAGTTGAGAGAAATCCATCTGCATTCTGGATTCTCAGCTACCATAGGCTGGGAGTGGGTAAGAGAGCTGAGGGAAACTCTCCCTCTGACACATGGTTGGCCTTTACAGACTCGGGACAGGGAAGCAACAGAGCGAGATAGAGAGATCTCCCAAAGCATGAAAATCTGGAGCAAGATGAGAGAGGAAAGAATCCCTCAGTGATCAAAAAGTTGGCGGGCTAGGCTGTAGAGCAGAGACAGCTCTCCTGGGTTTGGAAAGGTGGTGGCCAGTTGTAAAGTACGAAGAGATCTCTGGAATCTTGTCAGTGTTAAGAACCCAAGCATGGCTAAAGAGAAAAAAAACTCATAAAAATGCTGAAGGACCTAGTGGAAAAGATGGGCAACATGAGGGCAGAGATAGGGAATTTCAGCTGAGATATGTAAATGATAAAAAATTAGTGAAAATGCTAGATATAAAAAATATGATATCAGGAATAAAAAAATTATTTGATGGATTCAAGAGTAAAGTGGGAAAAGCCAAGTAGATAACTTGAAGACAGTTTAATATACAAACAGAAATACAAAGAAAGAAGTAGGGTTAAAAAAAGAATAAATAGATTGAGATCTGTGGGACAATATTAAACAGTATCATATATGTGTTTTTAAACTCCTAGAAGGAAAGGAAAAACAGAATGGTGCAGAAGAAATATTTGACGAGATAATGTCCAAGAACACCCCTAAATGAACGAATGACATTATCCCAGAAATCCAAGAAGCTCCCTTGAACCACAAACAGGATACATACAAGGAAATCACACCTAATCACATAATAGAAGTGCTGAAAACCAAAGATAAAGAGCAAATTCTGAAAGCAGCTACAGATAAAAAGATACATTGTATATGTGAGAACAACGGCATGAATAATGGCTGACTTCTTACCCAAAATGGTAAGAGGCCATAAGATAATGGAATGATGTTTTTATAAATTACTTTAAAAACAACAAAAACCAGCTGTCATCCTATAATTCTGTATTCAGTGAAAAATATCCTTCAAAAATGAAGGGAAAAAAGAAAGACTTTTATACAGACAAATGCTGAGAAAACTTATTATACAAGAAAATTCAAAGACATTCTTCAGGCTGAATGGAAATGAGTTCGGGAAGAACTCTGGATATGCAAACAGAAATAAAGCATACTCAGGAGGATATGTATATATAAAAGACGTATTTTGTTACCACCTGATATTTATATACCTATATATCTTTATGACAATTGACATTTTTAAAGATTTATTTATTTATTTGAGAGAGAGAGAGAGAGAGCACAAGCAGGAAGGGTGGGGGAAGAGGGAGAGAGAATCTCAAGCAGACTCCAGGTTGAATGGGGAGCCCAACTCGGGGCTTGATCTCATGGCCCTGAGATTATGAACCAAAACCAAGATTCTAACATTTAATTGACTGCACCACCCAGGTGCCCCATATGACAACTGACTTTTTAAAGCAAAAATATTAACAATGCATTGAGATTTATAGCATATTTAGAAGTAAAATATGAGATAAGAGTACAAAGGGTGGGTGGGGTATAAATGAAATCATATAGTTATAAGTTTCTTAACACTGTTGTGAAGTGTATATTTGGAATTAGACTCTGATAAATTAAAGATGATTGTTGTATAGCCAAGTGCAACCACTAAAAACTAGTTTTGAATAAAAAAGAATCAACACAGTAGAAAACACAGAGATACTGAAAAATACATGATTCATTCAGAAGACAAGAAAAGAGAAACAAAAGAACAGGTGAGATTTATAGAAAACAAATATGAAGATGGTAGACCTAACTCCAACTATAGCAATAGTTACGTTAAATCTAAGTGGACTGAATACTAGAACTTTAAGGCACGTGTTGTCACAGTGGAGAAGAAGCAAGACTGCAGTTTATAAGAACTATAAAGCCACAGATAGGTTGATAGTAAAAGGATCAAATACAACCATACACCATATAAGCATGAAACATAAAAAAGCTAGTGCATACCCTCTAAAAGAGTTCAGATAGTAAGATTGAACACACCAAAAATTGGTGAGATATGGAACTAAATGAAAAAAGCTGCTTTAAATATTTTGTCTTAATTACTATAGCTTTATAATAAAGTTTGATATGTGATAGAATACTCTGCTACTCCATCCCCTTCCAACCCTCAGCCCTTTACTCTTTCATATATACTTTAGAATCAGTGTATTGAGCTCCACAAAGTAACATTGCAATTTTGATTAGAATTGCATCAAATCTATAGATAAATCTGGGAAGAACTGAAAAGCTTTTAATATTCTGTATTTTAATCCATGAACATGATATAGCTAGCTATGTATTAAGATCTTTATTAATATTTTTTTAAAGCTTCTTATTTATTTATTTGAGAGAGAGAGAGCACGAGCGGGAAGAGGGTCAGAGGGAGAAGCAGACTCCCTGCTGAGCAGGGAGCCTGATGTGGGACTCGATCCTGGGACTCCAGGATCATGACCTGAGCCGAAGGCAGTCGCTTAACCAACGGAGTCACCCAGGCGCCCTTTATTAATATTTTTGATAATATTTTATTTTTATCTTAACCAAGATCTTATACACTTTTAGTGGCATTTATTTTTTTATTTTTTTAAAGATTTTATTTATTTGTTTGACAGAGAGACAGCGAGAGAGGGAACACAAGCAGGGGGAGTGGAAGAGGGAGAAGCAGGCTTCCCGCAGAGCAGGGAGCCCGATGCGGGGCTCCATCCCAGGACCCTGGGATCATGACCTGAGCCGAAGGCAGACGCTTAACGACTGAGCCACCCAGGCACCCCCAGTGGCATTTATTTTTAGATATCTGTATTTTTTTTGTTTTATCTTGAATTTCCATATGACTTTTAGAATCAACTCTCAATTTCTATTGTATACATGAGAACAAAGACATGAATAATGGCTGCCCACTGGGATTGTTATGATGTGTGCTGAATTTCTCAAGTATAGACATCTTAACTGTAGAGAGTCTTCTCACCCATGAACCAATCTCTCCATTTAAGTCTTTTATTTCACTCAGTAATGTTTTGTAGTCTTGTGTGTGTGTGTGTGTGTGTGTGTGTGTGTGTGTGTGTGTGTGTGTGGTATATGTGTGGTGTCTGTGGCATGTGTGTGTGTGGTATGATTTTTTTAAAGTTTTAATTTAAATTCCAGTTAGTTAACATACAGTGTAATATTAGCTTCAGGTGTATGATATAGCTCTTCAACACTTCCATACAACACCTGGTGCTCTTCATGACAAGTGCACTCCTTAATTCCCATCACCTATTTCACCTATCGCCCCACCACCTGCCCTCTGGTAACCATCAGTGTGTTCTCTGTGATTAAGTGTCTGTTTCTTGGTTTGGCCCCCCCCTCTCTTTTTTCCCCTTTGCTTTCTCCCAATGCGTGATATTTTTGATCGGGTGACAGAAATTGTGACTATTACCTTGTTGAGTGCTGAATATTTTTTATAAATATGCTTGAGTTTTGTTCTGAGATTTAATTAAGTTACTGGGAAACATTTGAATCCTTCTGGGTCTTGTTTTTAAGATTTGTTAGATAGTCTGGTGATATTTATTCCTCAGTACTGAGGCAAGACTTTTAGAGCACTCTACCCAATGCCCCATGAATCACTATGAGCATTTTCAATTTGGCTGGTTAGAAGAGGTACTATTCCCATCCCTGTGTAAGTTATCAATTCTATTCCCCTGCCCATTCAGTCATCCCTTTCCCCAGATTGGACAGTTTCCCCACATCCATACACTTATTAGTACTCTGCTGAATACATGAGGGGAACCCTTTGCACATCTCTGGAATTCTGTGTGCAGCTCTTTCATTGCTGATATTCTGCTTTGCAAACTCCAGCTACCTGTTCTCTCCTGTCAGCTCCACTTCCTGAACTCAGGGAATCTGCTAAACTCTGCTTGAGTTTCCCATGTCCTTGTTCCATAATCTGGGAACTTTCTCAGGAGGTTAATCTAGGGCTCATCTTGATTTACAATGTCTTGAGAGGGATCATTTCGTACATTTTGTTCAGTTTTTTTGTGTGTGTGTATTATGCAGGAAGGTAAATATATAGTCCCTGCTTTTTAACTTCATCTTGACCAGAAGTGGAAGTTTCTAATATAAAAATTTAATGCTATAAATTTCCCTCTAAGAACTGCTTTAGCAGCATTCCGTAAAATTTGATACCTTATACTCTTATTTTCATTCAGTTAAAAGACTTTCTAAATTCCCTTAACATGTCCTATTTAACACAAATCATTTAGAAGTGTACTGTTTAATTTCCAAGAATTGGGATATTTCCAGATATATTTCTGTTATTGATTAATTCCATTGTGGTTAGAGAACATTCTGTAGTTGATTTAAATTCTTTCAAATTTGTTGAGGTTTGTTTAATGACTCCGTATATGGTCTATCTTGATAAATGTTCCATGAACACTTGCCAAGAATATGTATTCTGCTGTTGTGGGTAAAATGTTCTATACATTTTAATTAGATTCAGTCAGCTGCTCAGTACTTCTATCCCCTTGCCTATTTTCTGCTATTCTATTTTCAACTGTACTTATGGATTTGTTAATTTCCTCTTTTAATTCCATCAGTTTTGATATGGTTTTAATATGTCGTATTTTAATTTTCAGTCAGTTAAATATTATTTCTAATTCCCTTGAAAATGTCTTTGTCTGAAGGGTTATTTAGACATTTATTTGTAAATTTTCAAATACCTGAGGGTTTTCTAGATATATTTTTTAAAAAATTGATTTCTAGTTTAATTCTGTTAAGATCAGAGAACATACTTTGACTTTTATTCTTTTAAATATGTTAAAATTTGTTTTATGTTCCAAAATATAGTCTATCTTGGTTAATATTCCATGTCTACTTGAAAAGAATGTGCTTCCTGCTGTTGATAGGTGGAGTATATTCTACAAATGTACTATCAGATCAACAGATAGTATTACTCTTGGGTCAGCAAACTTTTTCTGGAAAGGGCCATATAGTAAATATTTTAGGTTTTGGGCCACATAGTCTCTGTTGGAAATTTTCATCAGTGCTATTGTGCAAAAGCAGGCAGAGATAATACATAAACAAATGAGCATGGCTGAGTTCCAATAAAGCTATTTACAAAAAAAGGTGGCAGAGTGGATTTGACTGATGAGCAATAATTTTCTGACCCCTGCTGTTTCTTTGTACATTTTTGGAATTTTGTGCTTGTTTTATCTATTCCTGAAGAAGGAGTGTGGAAATCTTCCAAACAATTTGTTGATTTATCTATTTCTTTTTTCCATTCAATTAATTTTGTTTCTTGTATTTTGAAGATTTGTTGTTAGGTGTATCACATTTAGGATTGTTATGTCTTCTTGATGAATTGGTCCTTTTATCATTATATAATGTCCTTCTTTATCCCTGAGTATTTTCCTAGCTTATTTGATATTAATAAAGCCATTCTATCTTTCTTTTTTTTTTAAGATTTTATTTATTTATTTGAGAGACGGAACACGATTGTGGGGAGAGGGGGCAGAGGGAGAGGGAGAAGCAGACTCCCTGCTGAATAGAGAGCCTGATGGATCCCAGGACCCTGGGATCATGACCTGAGCTGAAGGCAGGCACTTAACCAACTGAGCCACCCAGGTGCCCTCTCTTTCTTTTAACTAGTGTTTTTATGATATAGCCTTTTCCAATATTTTACTTTTAATTCAACTGCATCATTTTATTTTAAATGAATTTCTCATAGAATGTATACAGTTTGGTCTTTTTTTAAAAATCCAATTTATTCATCAATTGATGGACACTTGGGCTGTTTCCATAATTTGGCTATTGTCAACAATGCTGCTATAAACATTGG